TTGGGTGCGCACCGGGGTTACCTCCATGGCCGATCACCGTGCCGGGGGGCATGGGGGGGGGTCCCCCACGTGCTTGGTGGCAGACCTGGAAGTGGACCGGAAGTACTTCTGGTCCACTTCCAGGTCTGCTGCTGAGCATGCAGGGGGGCCCCCCACGCTCCTGTGGGACACTCCATCTGCCCCACCATCTCAGCTTTCATGAGCCGCACCTGGTACCTCAAGGTTTGTAGAAAAAACATTTAAAGCTGTGTCTGTTCTCCAAGTCAGCATCGAATCTTCAGATTCGGATTCAGCCGAATCAAATTGGGAAAGTGATCCGAATCAACGAATTGAATCACTGTCCCCTGAATCGGGCCAAATCTCAATCCAAATTGAATACAGCCCGCTTTGCTCACTCCTAATGGTCAGTCTTTTTGTACCTTAGTTCAAAAAATGCAAATAGGGATAATATTTGCTTGCTTCAGTAGGCAGGCACTCAGATATTATAGTGATGCTGACCCAATAAGCACCTAAGGAGATAAGTCCAAGATGCATTCACAGTTCTTCTCCTGTGGAATGACTCTCCATTTTGTTGAGGGGGAAACATGGTTAAATGCTGCCATTCCAATGCAAACCCTTCACTAGCCCTCATTTGGCTTTTCTAAACCAGGAAGACCACCTGTTAACAGCAACAAGGAGTATATGGTGGTCTTTGATTTTATGTTCCTGTCCACTTTCAAATATAAGTACCAAGCTAAATCCCTGAGATTTCAGCTGCAACACTCTTTATTTTCCCCCTAAACTTCTGTTTCAGTGTGCTATTGCCAACAGCAAATGTTTCCCTTGAGAGGTGGCTGCTTTTTAGCAATAAGTTGAAGCTATTGCTATACAATGTACATAGTACATCTTATAAAGAGTATAAAGGCTATAGAACTAGAAAACCATTTTCATTGCTCTGACAGGAAGACAAAATTAACTTAAAGGAGAATAAAAGAAGAAGAAGAACAACAAAGCTAGCTAAACTACTACTCCTCTCACTCAAGGTGGCTTCCTCTCAGCAGCATTTCCTTGTGGCCGAGACCTCATCCCACGGTCATTCTCATGCTGTCTTTTCCATAACAAAGTATCCTGGGAAACTAACTGGAGCTATACAGCCAAGAGACATCTCCAGAGCCAGATTTCAGTTCAAGCCCTATCTTATTTATTTTCATGTGTGGGTTTGGCTGCAGAAGAGCAGTGTTAGAGGTGGGGGTCCATGGACACCAGCGTGCAGAGCTGCAGTTTCACCAGAGAAACTGATGATGACCCTGCAGTCTTGTCTCTGTGACATGAGAGTGGCAAATTTGTCCTTTGGTTTAGAGCCAAGAATGTTTGTTTAGATGTCCTAAATCAGGAGCAAGTTAAAACAAAAGACATGTCACAGATACTACCTTGCCTCACAGAATTGGGATTGCAAAAAACATATTAGGTTGGATGCTGAAATAGGGCAGTTCCTGCCTGCCACTTCCAAAGACAATGAATGCACCTGATGGTAGGTAAACTTCTTCAGTCTATTCATGAGCACTTGACTTGGAAACATTCTAAGACATTCCCTCTTTTGGAAACTGCTCCAGCCTCTAACATCTGAAGATGATTTTAGTATTTGTGACGTGTCAGTTCCATTAATCTTGAGATTTGTTCTTTAGAGATGAGGATCCAGACTCTCCTTGGTGAAAGGAGTGCTTTGGAGCTCTGCCAGGTGGGAACTGCTTTTGCACTCATCCTGCCTCAGCTGCTACTTTTCAGCAATTCCATGAATCCAGTTCTGGTATCACATGGACTGGTACAAATCAACAGGACGCACATTATATGAATCACAGACTGCACTGAGTCCCATCAGTTACCCAACAGCAAATTCTCTGATTAAAAAACCCAAAATCCACATTTTTCTGTGATTAAAATGAAATACCTTATATATATAGGTATCAGTTGAACACAATATTTTATTGATTTATTTACAATTTTAAAATAATTTGGAAGCCTGCCAATGCCTCAATCACTATAATTCAATAAATTCTAAATACCTATAACTTTTGGCATTTGATTTTGGGTTTTTTATAATGGAAAATCAGACCTCCCCCTGCCCCCTTTGCTCATTAGGATGCAGGTCCAGCTGTGGCTGTCTCTCCTGTTGCTTTGTGGTACTGAATAGTCCTGATATGTTGGTGCCCTTCCCATGCCATTGCCCCTCACTTCCAAGCCACAGCCCCCTGGATTCTGCTGTTGCCCCTCACTTCCCACCCACAGCTCTCTGGGCCCCCCAGCCCTACTAGAAGTGTCCCTCAGCTGCCCGGGCTATGGGGCAAGGGACCTGGATCTGAAGCCCCTTGCCCCGCAAGCAGCATCTGAGCCCTGGCTGTTGCCTGTGGGAGGTGGTAGCTGCTGCAGCAGAGCTGAGCACGAAGCCCAGCTCTCAATCCCCCACAAGCAACATGGCCAGAACAGAGCCCATGAGGGCAGGGGTGGATGAGGGTTGCATGCTGCAGGCTCAGGGCTCCCTACTTTGCTGCCTTCTCTGTTACCACATTTGCCCATCACTTTGGTGTGTGCTCATTTATTAGGGATATGTTTCTAGGGTCTTTGTAATTCTATCAATGTGCTGCTTGTGTTACTTGTGTTTCTATATGGAGCTGTACATCTCCCTTCTGCAAGTGTTCACCCCAATGGAGCTATCTTGCAAGACTCAGTTTCAATGGGGCTGGGTTCCTCCAAGCACCAAATCAGTCATACATACTGTGGCAGTGCACCGTGTGTGCCTGCCACTTTAAGGGCCTGGAGCCGGCAGCCTCCAGGTGCCTGATTGCGGCAGCCATTTTGAGGCCTACATAAACCAAGCAGGTGGGCTGCAGGAGGTCAGGC